AATCCACTAAAACTCTATTAAGGTTCTATTGTAAGAGAGAGTTATCTCTGTTTGCAGAGACAGGTCCCTTTTTTTTTTTTTTTTTTTTTTTTTTTTTCATTTTAATTATGTTAGGTAGTGTAACTTTTACACGTGAAGTCGTACTTGTTAGGAGGTGCAACTTTTCATTTTATTGGTATTTGTTTTATTATCTTTTAATTTAATTTTTTTTAAATGAATTGAATAAAACAATAGTAATACAATTGTTAAGAAAAATTTATTCAAATATATATGAGGAAAAGTGTTTTGTTAAATATTTTATTTAAAAATTAAATATTTAAAATGATGTGAATTTATAAAAAATAATAGTAATTATAATAATGTAACACTAAAATAAATTTTTGTATTGTTCTAATTTGTATATGTTTTAACAGAGATTTATTTTTGGAGTATTTGGTCGACACCTTAGATTGAGCTTAATGCTTCAACATATCTCTGGTAATCCACCCTTAACTATGAAGCTTATTTTTTCACGGATTTTAGCATTTATACTTTTATTACTCTATTTTTATGCCTTTTCTTGTATATGTTTATTGAATTTTGATTTGTTTAGGACTCAAACAAATTTATGATTTGAAATTGACGCATCTCTATTCCCATGAGATTGTTCGATGCATGTGTGACCAAATTTCAACATTAAAAGTTCAAGCTCTTCGCGATTGTGGAGTGTGTGACGCATTTTTTGAAGCGACCAAGAAGGGCATTGTTGAATTCGTCGTTGAGCTATTGAAAGTAATCCCACCAATCATTTTCCTTGATAAAGATGGAAGAAACGTTTTCATGATAGCAATCCAATATCGTCAAGAAAACATTTTCAACCTCCTATATGGCACTCATAAGGAATGGAGATTCCCTATTCTTAATGACATAGATGCAAAGGCCAATAATATGTTACATGTGGCAGGGGAGATAGCTCCTCCCTCTCAACTTGCCCGAATCTCCAGCACTGCATTGCAGATGCAAAGAGAACTACAATGGTTTAAGGTTTTCATCCTACTTGCCCACTCAACTATAGCATTTTGAACTTATTGTTGTTAATTATTTTAATTTATTTTTATGCATGAAGTGTGCTTTAACTCTCTTAAAAACTTATATATAAAGTAGGTGAAACTTATTTATTTGTTTCAAAAATAAATCCTAATTTGTTGTTCTAAAACTTAATGTGTACTTTTGTTAACCGAATGGAGGAGGTGGAAAGCATTGTTCCAGAATGGTGCAAAGAAGATACAAATGAAACTGGTAAAATCCCTTATGAAGTATTTTCAAATAGCCATAAAGAATTAGTGAAAGATGGGGAAATATGGATGAGGGACACATCAAATTCTTTGAGTCTTGTCGGTACTCTCATTATTACGATCACGTTTGCTGCAGCCTTTACTCTTCCAGGCGGCAATGCTCAAGATGGGTTTCCCAATTTTGTACGGAAAAGATCATTTATGATATTTGTAATATCTGATGCGATTTCCTTCTTTAGTGCATCAACTGCAGTCTTGATGTTTTTGGGAATCCTAACATCGCGCTTCGCCCAGGAAGATTTTCTCGAGTCCTTACCCAGGAAGTTGATCATTGGCCTCTCCACTCTTTTTATTTCTATTGCAGCAATGATGGTTAGCTTTTCTGCTGCTCTTTTGATTATACTGCAAGATCGATGGTGGGCAATTATTCCCGTAATTATGATGGCTAGCATTCCAGTTACAATTTTTGTATGGCTGCAGTTTCCCCTCCTTGTTGAAATTATTATTTCGACATATGCTACGGGAAGATTTTTTAAGAGAGACATGAAGCCTTGGCTTAGTGAAGAGCAAGTTGATTGATTTTTCTGGAACATAAGCGAGCAGTTTCCCCTTCAAGTTGAAATCCTTTAGCTTGTTCTTTGGTTATGTTAGTTGGAACTTCTAATTTCCCTGTTCTATTCGGTTGGATTGTCAGATTTTTCTGCTTTTAATTATGAGACTCTGGTCTATTTACCTTTTCATTGTGTAAAAACAATATTAATCATGCATGTTATGTTATATTTTCAGATATCTTGCTTTCTCCCCTATTTTGAAGAGGACGTCCGACTAAGAGCTCCGAGTTAAGTAT